CGGCGGATTCCGCGCCAGTCGCGCCGCCAGCGGCGCGCGACTGGCGGCGTTGCGGCCAAGGCAGACTGCTGCGCAGTTGCTAGGACGCGCTGCGCAGCTTCCAGCAGCTTGAGCTCCCGGCGGCGGGAGCGCAACAGTTTTGGAGGCGGGGTCCGGCCTGCAGCTGCGGCGGCAGTGTTGCCGTCGGCCGCCGACACGGTGCACCGCGCGCGTGGTTTGCAGCCGCGGTGTTAGGTGGTGCCAGGCGCGGAACTGTCGTCACGTCTTCCGCCCCTGGGGGCACCCAGCGGAGTGGCGTACCCATCCAGACTCAAATTGGGTCTCGCCCTCCTTGTGTGCTCCCAGGCGTGCAATTGTCGCCGCTTCACTGCGCCCGCGGGAGGTCCAGCGAAGCGGCGTCATATCCAAACAAGGCTCAGCCTCTCTGGGTACTGCCAGGCGTGGAGCTGTCGCCACCTCGCTGCGCCCGTGGGGAAGTCCAGCGGAGAGGCGAATCATTCAGATCCACCCTAGACCTCACCCTCCCTGGATGCTGCCAGGCGTGGAACTGCCGCGATTTCGCTGCGCCCGTGGGGCAGTCTTACAGCGAAGGGCGGTTCTTCCATTTGCATACCCAGCCTAGACTTCGTCCTGTGTTGCTAGGCGTGAGGCTGGCGCGACTTTGCTGCGCCTTCGGGGGGTGAGCGGAGTGCGGTGCTTCGCAGATTCCATCGGGACCTCCCTCCTTGGGTGTTGTGGGGCGGCCCTGCGTAACCCCATCACCTCTCATCGTCGTCGCTTCTCCTTCTCCTTTGCCTCGTCCTTCTCTTAGGTATCGTAAGTGTGACTCTTCCCCTCCACATGCGACCGCTTGGTATTGCCTCAAAATGGTTTCAGGGGACGCGCAGCAACACGGCTTAGCTTTCAAAGGACGTATGCATGCCCTGGGTATCATATTGAATTTTGGATGGGCAAGTGAAGATTGCCAATTGTCGCAGATGGGTTGGGTGAGTCCATTGTTTTTTTTTGTGCCAGACTGTCACAGGTCAACAGCTCATTTCGGGAACAGTCTGAAGGTCTAAGCCCCCCAAAACAATGATCTACAAGTACATTCTCCCCTCTCCCTTCCTTCCTCCACCTCCCCTCCCATCCCTCCCTCCGTCCCCGCTGCCATCAGCCCCGCAGGCGTAATCAGAATCGCCCTCCCAGCCCATCATCAATGGCGGCCTGGGGAAAGCAGTGACTGTTAATTTCCAAGGGCCTCAGAATATCCAGCGGCGCGATTCCTGGATTGACCCCCGGTCGGCCCAGGAACCTCAGCGTAAACATTTGCACATGGGGTTACCAGGCATGGCGGCTTCTGGGAGGAGGATAATGAGAAACAGGGGGACGAGGAGGTGGAATGCCAGTTTGCGTTAAAAGCAACAAATTGAGATGCATCCGTACAGAGCTGCTTAGAGCGATCCTCACCGAAACCTTCGGCGTTTGTTCCCGAGTCTGGTACGGTTTGTTTTGTGGCCAGCCTTAGTTTGGCGCGCACGTTGCGTTTGAAAAGACGCCGTTGCTCGGTCGCTGGTGCATTCTGCTCTATCATGTTCTGTTCGGTTCTGCTCTGTTCTGTTCACATATGGTTTGTTTTGTTCTGCTCTCGAATGGGCGTGGCGGCGTGACGCCTGTCACGCTTGATATGCAGTCTAATCGGTGAATGCTGCGCCTGTTTGTTCCTGTGGCCAGCCTTACGTCGGCGCGCATGTTGTTTTTGATAGGGCACCGTGTATCGGTCGCTGCTGTATTTTACAGGCTTCAATCATGTCATCTTAAAGTATGTCCGATTCTAATATGCTAGATTGTGTTTTGTGCTGTTCTGGACGGGCCCAAGTGACGTCGTGACGCTTGTCACGTCTAACATGTCTAATCGGGGGTTGCTGCGCCTGTTTGTTCCAATAGCCAGCCTGACCTCGGCGCGCACGTCGCGTTTGATAGGACGCCGCTGTTCGGTGACGCTTCGATTCTGGACTATCTGCGTAGATTGTATGTTGTTATATCATGTTGTGTGGTATTATATGCTGTTGAATTGCACTCTGCCCTGCAATGTTGTGCTACGGCCAACTCTTGTTTTCAGTCTCCACCCCATCAGCATTCTACTATGCCATGTAATACGATATGATTGCTATGCTATGTTACGTCCGCTCGTGTTCGGAACTATTCTTTCATAGCCTGTCATAAGCATAATCTGCGATGCTATGCTGACATGCCGCTCCTACTGTGCTCGTATGTGCTACTCTCGTATTCCGACATTGCGCCCCAGATTTGATAGTACATTCCAGTTATGTGTGTTTGTGCACCTTCGTGTTGACAATTATCTGGTATTTGCGCATACGACATGCCTGCTGTTATATGTTTGTCTAGTTTGTTGTAAACACGTACTTTGCTGTACTAGTGTATGTGATATTGCTCTTCCTCTGTTTTGAACGATACGCCGTAGCAGTTTAGTGTGTTGCTCTCTGCCATGATCGGCGGTATCATCTGCAAGTCTGTGCGACCTCACTGTGTCATAGTATATTCCCCAATCAGAGCTTGCCTCTGTAGGGGCCCTGGCGGATTGATATGGTTAGGTGAGTGTTGCCACCGATTTCCACGGCCCGCCCCGGTGCCCAGATGCCCGGGTTCCAGGGTGCTGTACAGACCTATAGCCCTATTGCTTTATAGCCCTATGGTCCCATAGCCCGATAGCACTATAGCCCAATAGTTCGTTAGTTCTACAGCCTCATAGCCTTGTAGCCCTATAGCCCCATAGCCCTACCGCCCTATAGCTCTACAGCCCTATAGCCCAATAGCTATATAGCCTTTGGCCTTTTGACCCATGGCCCTATAGCCCAAGAGCCTTATAGCCCTGTAGCCCTGTATCCCTGTAGCCCTATAGCCCGATAGGGGCCCTATAGCATTATGGCCTCCTTATAGCCCTATAGTCCTATAGCTCCATCTGCCTATAGCCCCATAGCTCTATATCGCTATAGCCCTACAGCCCTATGGTCCTATAGCCCTATAGCCCCATGGCCCTATAGATTCATAGCCCTATGGCCCTATAGCCCTATGGCCCCATAGCCCCAGAGCCCCATAGCCCCATAGCCCTATAGCCCTACCGTCCTATAGCCCTATGGCCTTATAGCCCTATTGACCTATTACCCTATGGCCCTATAGCCCTATAGTTCCTACAGTCCCATAGCCCCAAAGCCCAATAGCCCCATAGCCCTATACCACTACAAAGACTTCGATTTGATTTTTCTTCGAAATCATTTTGCTGAGGTATGGCCTTACTCTTAATTCAGGTCGGTTCAATCGTATATTGTTTTCGTTACCTCAACCGTAGCAGTAGTATAGCAAGTCTGTGGTGCAAATGCTATGTTCTCTTAGGCTACACTGGTATTCCCCGCACTGTTACACAACGACTTGGTATGGCATCGTAGGTTCTGTTCAATGATGTTATGGTATGGCATGCCCTTGTACAGCATAGTCTGTTGTGGTGTGGTTGTTGTTGCTGTAGTGTGCTATCTCATGGCCTATGCATTGTATGACGGCGCGCTCTGTGGGGTTACGATCTGCCTATACAGTGGCATGTATCTTTATCAGGTAATATGGTGTTGTTTGTCGTGTGGTGATATGTGATGCGATGCGGCATTATCGCAGGATATAATATATCTTGTTACGATATGGAAGTTTGTGTTGTGATATGACATGCTGTGTTTATTATATGATACTAGTCGACTGTATCTTCCTTGGCGTGCCGTATAGTGGCAGATGATGTCATTACGTGTTTGGTGATGTTGTGTTATCCATTGATATATGATGTCATGCGATGCGGAGCTCTGGTCTGTTCAGCTATGCGATGTAATGATCTGCTCTGTTCTGGTTTGTGTTGTGTTGTTCTGCTCGTCGAGGGCGCGAGGGGCGGGATTCTCGGGTGATTCCCAGAGGACCTGGGGATCTGGCGGCCGCGGCATGGCGGTATGCTCGGGGCCCTGAGGGGCCTCTTGGGGCCAGTTTGGGGGTTCTCGGTCAAAGAAGGGGGCGGCGCCTGTGTCAGCCCTCTCGGAATCCCAACGGTCGCCTCTTGGGGTCTTTTGGGGGCGCCTTTGGCCGCTCTTGGAGTTGGATTGTGCCCGTCTTGGGCTCCTATTGGGACTCTCGTGGGTCATGCTGGGACCATCGATATTGAGACTTCAGAAACCCATCGGCAGCGAACGGGCCAGAAGGCAAAACACAGTGAGTTCCCATAGGTTTAGGACCACCTTTGTCCTTTCTCGGGGAGGTCCGTGGGAGGCTCCGTGGCCGCTTGGATCCGTAGTGAGGCGTTCTCCCCCAAGGGGAAGTAGGGGCTTTGAAGAGCTAACTCACTGAACAAGCTACGCCCAAAGGCTTGGTGGGATCAGCTTGGAGGGGGACTCAACCTTTACCAGGTAATGTTGGTGACGAATCCTTCTACGCAAGACCCGCATTAGGGATATGGGGTCGTAGGCGGACCTCCTTATGGGGAACGCTCTCTGGTACATGTGTGCCGATGTATGAAGGGGGGAGGCGTGCGAACCCCTATCTCTCTTGCCTGTTCCCCAAGGGGCACGAACGTGTGAGGGGTGTGCCGAAATGGGTGGGAGGGACGCGTGCAGACTTTCCCACCGAGACCGTGGGTGCAGTCGTTCGCCATATTCTGGCGCGCGTGAATGCAAAAAGTGTTTTAGACTGCGGGCTGTATCTACCATCCAATGAGGGGGGCCAGGGGGAGCGTCGGAGGGGCATCGCTGATTGGGAGGTGCAGCAGGGGAAAGATGAGGAAGACAATGAGCAGGAATGGGACACTGAGTGCAGAGACTGGTCCAGCAATCGCCCGAACTGGGTGCCAGTTTAGAGTTGCGCGCTCTGTGTGGATGCTTGATTTGCGGGGAAGTATCCCACGAGCCCACGAGGGATGAGAAGGGAGGAGCGTGGAGCAGAAAGACACTTGCAGTAATGTTTGAGGAGGGGAGGACGTGATGGCAAGAGACGGCTGGAAAGACGCTGGGTATGTTTTGGTTGGCATCGACGACTGTTGGTCGGACGAGTTACGCACCGATGGAAAGTTATCCGGCGATCTAGAACGATTCCCTTCCGGGATGGTAGCGGGTGGGCAGTCGTACTCGAGTACTTTGGGGTGCAGAGGTATTGAATACGTTGGCGCCCCACAGCGGCCGACATTGATATCGCAGCTCTCGTATTGGGAGTCAGGGAGAGACAGAGACAGAGGGAGAGAGAGGGAAAGTGACGGAGAAAGACGCAGAGAAAGAGGTACAGAGAAAGAAAGACAGAGAGACAGAGAGAAGGAGAGAGAGAGAGAGAAAGAGAGAGAGAGAGACAGACAGACAGACAGAGATCGAGACAGAGACAGAGCGGGAGAGGCGCGGACAGTGGCGCCGGGTTCTTGGCTGGGGCCGCTGTCATCTCGTTGTGAGTGCGTCACTGGGTCTGTCGGGACCGGGCCTGGGAGAGCAGACTTTTGCAGGGGCATTCCCGACATTTTCGAAAGAGGGGCCAGGACCAGCCGCAGTGGCTCGGCCCCGATTCGGGAGTCGTCTCCTTTCTCCATCTTCGACACGGGGGGGGGCAGAGGCCGTGGACCACAGAAGCGAGCCTGGTCGGGAGGCGTGCGCCAGGGGGGCCGGACACCGGCGCGCGCCGCTCGAGGCGCTGACGACCCGGAGTCTTGGAGTGCCAGGAGTCCCGTGCATTCGAGCGGCCGTCGCCCAGCCAGCGCGCTGCGGCGCCCCCTCCCCGCATCATCACCGCTTTCCCGCGCTGGGTGCGTGGAGGATGGCGGCCTTGGCGCAATACGTCCACGACCGCGACCTGGAACTCGGAATATACGGGAGCGTGGGCATTATGACTTGCGAAGGTTCTACTTTCTTCATATTATTATTATTATTCTTCTTCGCACGGCTGCCTTCGTATTCTTCCGATCTCCAACCATCCTGTAGTGTTGGGTCCTCGTTTGAAATGCGCCGCGCCCCGCGTCCTCCGCTCACCTTCCTATTCACATTCCTTTCTATTTCCCCCATTGCTCCTTTTCTTGTTTTTGCCCTCCTCCTCCTCGTCCTCCCTCTCCTCCTGCTGCTGACACTGCGGCGGGCACCACCATGACACACTGGAATCTTCATGATCACGACATCTCGTGGGAGCAGGTCAGGAGGGTATCGGCCGCCATCCAGGCAGGCATGAGGCAGATGGAGGCGGACCCCCGCAGGCACTTCGTCATCGTCTGCGGGGATTTCAACTATGACGAGAACGTAGAAATTGAGGACCCTTTGGTCCCCAGCGGAGGCCCTCGAGCTGCCCTTCACTCTCGCGGCCGCTGCCGGCAGCAGGCGTTCCGGCCCGCCACGGAGACGGTCGCTCCGAAGCCGACGCACTGGCACACTGCTAGGCGCACGGCCACTACCATTGGCAAGATTTGGATCGGTTCCCCGAAGTGGCTTTTGACGCAGACGTTGGAACACGGCAAGGTCCATGGCGAAGTTCACGAGATGCACAACCAGGAGCTCTCGGACCATGTTCTCCGTCCCGTGGTCCATGCGGCCCAAACTTTGGTTGTTGAGCACCCTTTTTTCGCCAAGCGCGTGGTGGCGCTAGAGGGCCTCTCCCCGCCAGAGCGGGCGCGCATCCACACGAGGTTGCTGCAATGCGCGGTGGCGGCGACGAACGATGACGTCCTCCGCGGCGACGCCGGCAACAAGGCGCCCACGGCCATGATATGGCGCCAGCAGGGCCGCGCAGCGCGGCGGCAAGATTGGCGCATGGCGGACCGCCTGTTGCGTCGGCGCGCATGGGTCGCGCAGGTCTTGGCGGTATCCACAGCGGACCGCCGCGTGGATATCCTCGATCAGGTTTGTTTTGGACGAGGTACCGCTTCGCTCAACATCGGGACGTGCAGGATCGCCTGCGCCAACGGCAATGGGAGCTGGAAGAGACGCGCGTGGAAAGCGCCAGAGTGACGCTGGTGCCACAGCAACGCGCACTGCGACGCCGCGCGGCGCTCTGGGCGTCCACCGCGGCCAGACGTTTCCTGTCGGCCGTGGAGGTCCCCGACGGCCTGGCCAGGACCGAGGAGGAGGTGCAGCGGGCCCTTGCCTGCTACTGGCGCGGGGTCTTCGGCGATAGCGTTGCTGCCCGACAGACCTCCGCTGACCGCCGGCTGTGCGAACTGGCGCGGGCCCCTGGTCGACCGCCGCCATCCTTCCGCGGAGGCCAGCTGGTGGAGATCGCGCAGGACCCTCCGCGGAACGAGCTGCTGCTGCGGCGCCTGCAGGGGCGGTGCACCGACAGATACGGCATCAAGAACGCGGTCTGGGACGATTTCGCCCTCCCCACGGAATCCACTATCCGTTTGGGCCTGCGCCGAGCGTGCCGCGCCATGCCAGGGCCAGACGGGCTGCCGCCGTAGGCGTGGCTTGCCACGCGGCAGGGCGCCCACGCGCTGGCGCTCGCCCTGGACTGGCAGACGGCGGGGCCCCCGATGTGCAGCTGTTGGAATGCCAACATCGCGGGCGAGCGGCAGGAGGGCCCCCGCGAGGTCGTCCGACGCCCCGGTGAGACGCGTCCCCTGGCTCTTGAGAGCACGTCCAACAAGGCAGCGATGCGGTCCAGCAGCCTCTGCGTGAAGCGGGCGGCGAAGGAGAAGTGCGTGGAGACGCAGAGTGGATTCTTCAGTGGCCACAACTCTTGCGCCAACGTCGTCGAGCTCGACAGCTACGCGAGGGCTGCGAGCACGCGCGCTGCAGACGTGCGCGACGACCGCATGGACAACGAGCACTACTTGAAACGCATCCTCCCTTTGCTGCCGGCCTTCGACTTCGCCTAGGCCTTTTCTAGCATCAGCCACTCGTGGGCCCACCTCAACCTTGAAAAAATTGAGGTTCCACGTGGCATGCGGTCATCCATTCTGATGAACGATGAGGGCGCGCAGAGCTTGGCGGCCTCTCGGAGCCGGGCGCTCCCCTGCAACGTGCGGTCGGGGATCTTGTAGGGCGATCCCGCCATCTGCGCGCTCAGCGCCCCGGGGGCGCGCGCTCTCGGTCGCGACATGGCGATCGACGCGGGCGGCAACGACCGCGGCCGCGCCCGCCGGTGCGCGGGCGACGCGGGCGCCGGGCTTCGAGGGCGAGCTGGGCTGCGGGCCGTGGCGCGGATCTTCGAGATGGCTCGATTTCTCGCTGGCTCTAGCCTCGAGCCCAACGAATGATTCGCCGCCCCCGTCGGCGCCCCCTTCATGGCTGAGCTGGCCGATGCGAGTGGCCTGCTGGCGGGGGTGGGCGGCGTTCGCCCCCGGCGACACTCTGGAATACTTGGGCGCGTTGCCGGGGCCCGGAGTCGAAGACGCAGCCCAGCGGCGCGGGCCCGCGCGGCAGTGGCGGGAACGAGTGGCAGACGCGGCGCGGACGAAATCAGACGCGCTCGCCTCGGCCACCCCGCGCGGAGAATGGCGCGGGCGCGCGCCCCCTACAGGGCTTGGCTTTTCAAGCTACTTGGCCGCGCGGCGCGGCTGGAGGAAGGGCCGATGGCGAAGCTCTTCTGGCCCCCGGGCTCCGTCTGGGCGAGTCCAGGCGGCGCGAGTTAGAGGCGGCGGGCGGGCTGGCGGCGCGCACGGCGGCGCCGCGGCGCCAGGCCGCGCTCGTGCGCGCGGCGTAAGCGACGGCGCCCTCGGCGAGGCAGCTGCACGCGGGAGCTCCGCGCGACGGGGCGGCAGCGCCATCCGCTCGTTCGGGCCCCGAGGGGGCTTGCATGGCCGAGCTGGCGGCGGCGCTCGGGAAGGCAGCCCGGGGCGCTGGCGCGACGGCGAGGAGGGCCGCGGCATTCTCCCTGCGGCAGGCGACGGTCGCGGCGAGGATAGCGGCCCGGTCGCGCCGGGCGCGCCCGCGGACTGCATTGCACTAGGCGCTCCTCTCGCACTTTTGACCCCCCCGCACCTCGCGCCCGGCGCCGCCTCGCCGCCCGTCTTCGCCGCCGGCTCGGGGCCCCCCCAGCCGACGCGGAGGTCATCGACTGATCGGCCGTCGTCTCGGCGCGGCATCGCGCCCCCCCGCCCCTGCGCAGCGCTCGCGCGGAGACATGGGGAGGGGGGCGGGTCGCAGAACCCAGGGCGCGCACGCCGCGCAGGGGTTGTATCGCCCTGTAGCTGTGTTAGCCCCGGATTTATAAATTTGCCATTAACTTTAATCAACATTTAGCTAAGGATAAGTATCCTCGAAGTAACCGGGGGTCGGTTAGAGGATAAGTATTTTTTCATTGGAGATAATTATCCTCTAACCATGCAACCGTGATAATTTTCCTCTGCTCAACATATGACTAAGGATAACTATCCTCTATTGTCCTCTCATCATCATCATCATCATCATCATCATCATCATCATCACTGTAGCCCCCCTCTGGGTTCTACGCAGCTGCAGGCCCCCCTTGCGCGGGGCCCGCGCGGGCCCGAGCGCGATGGCCCCCGAGCGCGATGGCCCAGAGATGCGGGGCGAGAAGGAGCTCACCTTGGCGATGACGCCGACGTCGAAGGCAGCGGCGCGAGCACCAGCGCCAGCAGCAGCTTCGACGGCAACGCCAGCACAAGGAACTTCGACGGCAGCACCTTCCACGGCAGCACCAACGGCTCCGACGCCGACGCCGGCGCCGACGCCGCAGCCACGACTGCAAGTAGGGCTGCAGCCGCCGAGGCCCAGGGCCAGGGGGCAGCGGCCAGCGTCGCCGACGGGGCCACAACATGCGTTGCCAATGGGGCCGCTGGTCAGGAAGGCGCCGATTCTCATCGAATCGGCGCCGATGCCGCCGCCATTGGCGGCGCGGCCAGCGATCGTCAAGGAGACGAAGAGGATGGGGCCCACCTACAAGAGGGCGCCGCACACGCCGGCGCCCAGGGCGCCGCCCACGCAGGCGGCGCAGCCGCCTGAGGCGCCCAAGGCGCCCGCGAAGCAGCCCGAGGCGCCATCGGCGCCACCTCCGCAGCGCGCGATTGAAGCGCGAGAGCAACGTCGCATGGCGAAGAACGACCAGCAGAAGCACGGCGGGCAGCAGCCCGACAGGGAACACCCCGTCAGCGAGCAGCAGCGCCCAAACAAAATCGCGAGGACAATGGGCAACACAGTCGCCATGGCGCCGACCGTAGATTGGCAGTGGAACCCGTTCTTCAGCGGCGGCGTCTACGCGCCGCCCCCAGACCCCGACGCGCCGAAGCAGTTCGGCAGGAGCGGGGCAAGGAGCAAGGAGAGAGCCATACACAGGCACGACAAGCGCATTAGTGGGCAACCGTGCGCCGACCAGAAGCAGATCGAACGGCTCGGGATGGAGGGGCACCTGGCGGCGCAATCGGTCAACCCCCAGAACAAGCAGAGGACGGTTGGCATCGAGTTCCAGAAACTCGCGCCATCAATAGCCCCGACGGCGGCACCTGCGACGGCAGCGCCTTCGACGGCAGCATCGCCTTCGACGGCAGAACCTTCGACGGCAGCACCTTCAACAGCTCCGATGGCAGCGCCTTCTTCGACAGCAGCTTCCACGACGACGCCTTCGACAGCAGCGCCTGCGGCGGCGTCAAAGGCAGCAACCCAGCGGACGAGCGTGACTCGCCAGCGTCGGAAGAAACAACGCCACCTGCATCGCCGACGGCAGCGCCAGCAGCGCCGACTGACCAGCAGCTCATCAAGAGGTTCGCGGCGCTGAGGGGCGACTGGCCAGGCGTCGCGCTGACGGACCCCTACAACCCCGAAGGCGAGCCCCAGGGTTGAGCGAAAATGTAGAAAATGAGAATCACCCTCCACGAGCGAGGGGCGTCATCAACCTCATCACCAGCATCGCCATCATCACCGCCAATATCATCGGCATTGGCAAGCCACCAACCCTCCATCGCTATCGCAGCCATCACCAGCAGCGCCATGCTCATCGCCGTCGTCGTCTCATTTCATCCTCCATCTTCCCACCCCCACATGCTCTCAGCCACCGTCTCCTTCCACAGCATGTTGCTCATCAGACGCGCGCTGTTATTGTCGCCCTCTCGGGGGGGGAGGCGGCCCGGTGATTCGGCGCGCGAGCCCTTCGGACGCGCCGCCGAGACCTCGGCGCCGGCGCCCGATGGAGTCGCACTTCGCCGGCGCGAGCCTCGCCGACAAGTTGGGCGACAAGGCGAGCCGACGTGATGTGGGCTTCGCGCGGGGCGGCTCTGGGTACATGAGCTCGAGGGCGCAGGCCGTCGACGTGGCGACGATGCCCCCGTGCGCCGAAGCGCTGGGCGCCCTCCTCGACGTTGCGCCTTCGGGGTTTCCAGCGCACAAGTGCCTCGAGGATGCGTTCGAGGAGCTGAGCCAAAGGCGCGGCGCCCTCGACTGCGAGGCGCGCCACTCGACCAGGGCGGCCACTGCCGCAGCTGACAACTGGCGGATCATGACGAAGCACCTCTACAACACGGCCGCTAAACGGAGGTTCTGGACAACAAGGAGCTCCAGGAGCTGGCGAAGAAGATCGAGCTTCCTTCCGCAGAAGATGACGCTTCGACGCCAGCGCTGGTGGGAGCCAGCCCCCCATGGACGCGAGCGCGGTCAGGATGCTCCTCCCTCCGAGCGGGGCATGGAGGGCGGAGTTGGAGGGCGATCAGGAAAGCGACTGTCACGACGCTGAGGGGGGCGCCGAGCTCGAGCCCATCGAGTCGGAGAGCGACGTGGGGCCCTGTGGAACGACGTGCAATTGCCATGCGCGCCGCGAGGCGCGCGCGGTCCACCTCGCATCTGATGACGAGGGCGCGGCCGCGGGCGTTCCGGGCGCCCCGACACCGACCCCGAGCGCGGCGCTCGGAGGTCAGCGACGCGAGACAAAGAAAGCCGCGACGACCACGGGGGAAGCGAAGGGGGCGGAGGGCACTGGCAGGAGCAAGGGCAAGTGCAAGAAGGGAAAGAAGGGCAAGGGCAACGGCAAGGGCGCCGACCGCAGCGCCATGGGCAAGGACAAGGGCAATTAGCAATACTATACCGTCCGCATGCGGTATAAGGGCAAACAGCGTCCGACGGACGACGGGGGGCCTGCGAAGAAGGCCAAGGTGCCTCCCAAGGAGAAGAAGGTCGAGAGAGAGCAGAAGGACGAGAGCGACGGCGGCGCGATCGCATTGCCCTCTCGGATTGTCGCGAGAGAGGCCGCGGAAAAGAGGCGTGGCGAGGTCTACCTGCTCGACGGCAACAAGACGCACATATTGGGCATCACCGACGGGAGGAGCGACGGGTACAAGGACCTCGTCGAGCGCGTCATGGAGACGATCATTGCCAGCGCCCTAAAGACGAGGATGGACGTCAAGATGTGGTTCGACTCGGAGATCGGGTCCGACGCGCCCTGAGACCCCTCGCGAGCGGCGCGCCAGAGAGCTGACCAGTGTGTACAGGAGGGGGCCCTGTACGAGGCCCAGCCAAAAGATGAAAGAAAACACAGCGCTCCTCCACGAGCGTGGAGAGGCTGCCGTCGCCTCATCGAAATCCCATCATCATCGTCATATCGCCCTCATCCTCATCCCCCCCCCATCATCATGGGCACCTTATCATGCGCATTATATTCAGCATCGCCCCCATCATCATCACACGCATCATTGAGGCTGTTGCTTGGCCATGCGGGCCCTCAGGGCCGCGGACATGAACAACAAACTGTGCGTTAACAGCCTCGTCATCCTCACTACGTGCACTATCACATCATCTTCATCCTCGTCATCATCATCGCGCTCATCACAATCCTCCTCACCCTCATCATCATCATATTCGCCCTCATCATCACCATCATCTTTATCCTCGTCGCGTAGCCACCCTGGCTCCGGGGCAGCGTGCATTGTCAGACTCCCTCGGGGCCGTCGCGGGGGGTGGCTCCGAAGGAGGAGAAGGCGGCCTCACCATTGCCTCCAGTGGGGGGGCGATGGGCACCTGCCTCAAGAAAATGCACGCGGCGGCAGCATTGGGCCAGAACGTGCGAAGGTGAAGATTGAGCCATCCAGCAGCGACAGGAGCGGTAGCGGTGAAAGAAGCAGCGGTGCATAGGCAATGCCACCGCTCAAGAGGGAGGCGCCCAAGCGAACCCGCGCGGTCGACGGCGCCGCGGCGGCGTGGCTCAAGGAATTCACTGCCGACAACAGGCAGCTAAACAACTCGTTCATGCACCGCCTGCGCAAGCAGGGCGAGGCAATGAAGGCGGACTGGACCACCGTCCAGAAGTTCGGCTCGGCGCTAGATGCGGATCAGTTCGTGGGCGATATCCAGGGCAAGCCCCAAGGGCAAGTGACAGAGTTCAACAACGCGCCGCGCCGCGCCGCGACGTTGAAGCAGCGGGCCCCCATCAAGAAGGCGCTGGAGAAGCGCGACGAGGGCGCGTTGCTGGCCGCGGTCAAGGCCAGGACCTTGGAGTCTAAGCGCGACCCGAACATCCCTGAGAGCCTGATGGCGCCGTGGCCTAAGTACCTGATAGTGCGGCTGACCACGGAGAACGAGGTCGAGCGCCACGGCAAGGGACGCGAGCTCACCGGCCACGCCCAGCTCGATGACGAGCAGTACGAAAACATCGAGGTAGCTGAACCGCGGCCACCAGCAGCAGCAGGGGGGCGCGGGCAGCCCCGCCAGCGCTGACGCCAGCACCGACGCCAACACCGACGCATGCGAGAAGCAAACAGCCTCCGTGAGCACGGAGTTGCCATCATCGTCGTCGTCGCCACCACCATCATCGTCATCGCTCTTGTCGTCTCCTCGTCTCCTCCTCACCCCCTCCTCATTTTAGCTGCCCTTCCCCCCCCCCCGCCCCCCCACCCCCTCCGGGTGCTCAGCATAATTCATTTGGGACTTAAGACGAATTAATATTAATTAAGATGAGCACTTTACATATCGTGTTAATCAGTAAGCATGTCATCTTATTTCGTATGAATGCATCTGAGACTTAAGATACATTGAGATGGGCTTGCGGGCGAGGGGGGTGAAAGAGGGAGGGGGGGGAGGGGGGCGGCGACGGCGACGACGAGGACGGCGACGACACAGGGCTCATCTTGATTTGGGGAGGAATGGGGCGTCGACGACGACGGCGGCGACGACGGCGACGGCGACGGCGACGACGACGACGTCGGCGACGACGACGGCGGCAACGACGACGGCGACGACGATAGCGGCGACGATTACGGCAAAGACGACGGCGACGACGACGAGGGCGACGACGACGACGAAGAAGGCGACGGCAATTTCAAGTTGTTCGAGGCGACGGCGACGATGGCGATGGCGACGGCGACGGCGACGGCGACGACGACGGACGCTGGAGGGCGGATAGTGGAGGTTGGAGCTTGACGGTAGGAGGGACATCGCTCCGCGCTCGCGGATGTTTTTTCTCTGTCAACCGCAACGGAGTGGCGCGCGCCCGCTGTGGGCGAAAGCTGTTACAGCGGCGGCCTTCAGGCCGCGTCCTCGTGCAGAGCATGAGGTGGTCGTAGAACTGCTGCCGTCGCTCAGGCTTCCTGTGCTGCGGCCTCGATCGCGTCCGTCTGCGCCTGCGTCCAGCTCGTGCTCGATGGGCCAGAGCTCGACGGCGACGACTGCTGCTGCTGCTTGCAGCCCGTCGCGTAGCCCTTGCCGTGGCCGACTTTGAAGCCCCTCTCATAGCCCTCGTCGTGGCCCGCGTCGAAGCCCTTTGCGAGCCCCTGGTCGTAGCCGCGCTGCCACCTCTCGAAGAGTCTCTCGTCACGCGTCGGGATCTGGTTCGACTGCTGCATGGGATTGTCGTCGTCCTCGGTGTAGTGGCCGCGCGTCTCGTAGCTATTGTCGCCGTTGTGCTGCGCCCGCCTATCGCACTCGCTCATGAGCGACTTCTTCACTCGCAGCGCCGCAATTTCTTGTGGCCAATCAACGCTGACGGTCATGTTGCCCATCGTTGATCACCCGCGTGCCATCGAGGGGGATATCGCTCCCTTTCGTCGGCGGGCACGCGCTGGCGTCGGCGTCGAACAAGCTGATATTCTGGACGGGGACGCCGTCGAGCCACTCTGACAGGTCCTCTTTGAGGGCGCCCCTGACGTTGGGCACGCCCGGGAAGTGCTGGGCCCACTTCCCCACCGCCGTCAGCGGCGCGTTGAACGAGATCCACGCATCGGCGCCCTCCAGCCACAACTTGATCTCCATCCGTTCGCTCATTGCCGTGCACTCCGAGCACGTGCACTTCAGCCCGTAGCGCGGCGGCTTCGATGGGGGCGCTGCTTTCGACATCGACATCGTCGGAGGTGCTGGTGCGTCCTAGGTGCCGGTGCTGGTCGTCGGAGGTGCTGCTGCTGGTCGTCGGAGGTGCCGGTCGTCCGATGGGCCATTGTTGCCGACGCTGCGTCGGGAGTTGCTCAGGCCAAAACGGCAATGGGGATGGCGATAGGGTGGAGGAGGAGGGGGGGGGGCACATGATGATGATGATGATGATGATGATGATGATGATGATGATGATGATGATGATGATGATGATGATGATGATGGTGATGGTGATGGTGATGGTGATGGTGATGGTGATGGTGATGGTGATGGTGATGGTGATGGTGATGGTGATCGTGATGATGGTCATGACGGCGCTGGCGGCGATGGCGATGCGCATGATGGCTTTGATAGCGGCGGTGGCGACGATGGCGATAAAGGGGGCGAGGGGGAAAATTATGGGGTGCAGCAGAGGAGGAGGAAGTAGAGGACGCCCCGCGCCTGCGGAGGATGTATGTTTTCTTCCGGTGCTACCCGGGGATTTGCGCGTTTCTCGGGCCGCGTCTTCCACCTCGTCGCCTGCCTCCTCCTCGTTCCCTTGCCTCATCTTCTGCCGCCTCCCCTTTCTCCTCCCTCATATATATACATACATATAACATATACATATACATACAAACATGTATGTAGCTATATAGGCCATAGCTCTTCCGCCCGCTGCCTTCTCCCCACGTGCGCCCCTTCTGTCTGTCTGCATCCATGTCCTCCGCGGCCACTATTTCCCCCCATCCGCCCCTCCTCCTCCCTCTCAGGCGCTCGCTGGTTGGATGGGGTGATCTTCTTCTTCTTATGTTTCTTCTTCCTCCTGGTCGCCCTCTTGTCCGTCGCGTCCGTCTTGTTCCCCCTCGCGTTTAGCTCATCCACCTCTTCCTTCGCCTCCCCGAGCTTCCACCATCAAGGCGTGCCTCTCCTGCTCTAGCTGCCGGATGCGTTTCTCGGCTTCCTCCACAACACTTGCATATCGTAGTACTACTGTTCATGCTGCTTCTCCAACGCCTACGCTCGGACTCGCCGGGGTCGCCCCCATCCCCCCCTGCAGGGGGAGAGGGCGACCCGCGCGAATCCGACCCCACCTTGCCCCTCGTTGCCCATCCCCTGCCCCTCGTCATCAACATGAGAAAAGAAGGTGGGAACTGAGACAAAATTGTTACCCCCGCGCGCCTTCGAGAGCCACCGCAACCCATTGTCGAGCTCAGCAAACTCGCCCGACTCGGCGAGCGCGGAGAACGGCACATAGCCCGCGGGCCTCGGCCTCGGCACCATGCTGAGGGCTTGAGCGAAACCGCTTTTTACCTAACAGCGAAGACTGATAGGTTTCTAGTGTCTAGTGGTTTCAAAAGAGAGCATCATGACTCCCCAGGGGGGTATGGGCAGATGCCGGACGGGTGCCGCGGGAATCCGGGGAGTGCCGCGGGAATCCGGGGATTTCTGTTGTAGCAAACAGTAACGCACTTCGTGGTCTTCGAGTTCCCAGAACTCCATTCCTGGGCATGATTTTGAATGCCCCGAGCCAACTGTAGGCCACTTCGTGGTCTTCGAGTTCCCAGAACTCCATTCCTGGGCATGATTTTGAATGCCCGGAGCCAACTGTAAGCCACTTCGTGGTCTCCGAGTTCAGAACTCCATTCCTGGGCATGATTTTGAATGCCCGGAGCCAACTGTAGGCCGCTTGGTGTTTTTCGAATTCCCAGAACTCCATTCCCGGGCCACATTTTGAATGCTGATGAAGGCTGGGGCTGAGGCTGATGCAGACTGAGGCTGAGGCAGGCTGAGGCTGAGGCCGAGGCTGAAGGCAGACTGAGGCTTAGGCTGAAGCAGGCTGAGGCTGAGGCTGAGGCAGGCTGAGGCTGAGGCTGAGGCAGGCTGAGGCTGAGGCAGGCTGAGGCTGAGGCTGAGGCTGATGCAAGCTGAGGCTGAGGCAGGCTGAGGCCGAGGCTGAAGGCAGACTGAGGCTGAGGCTGAAGGCTGAGGCTGAGGCTGATGCAGACTGAGGCTGAGGCTGAGGCAGGCTGAGGCTGAGGCTGAGGCTGATGCAGGCTGAGGCTGAGGCAGGCTGAGGCTGAGGCCGAGGCTGAAGGCAGACTGAGGCTCAGGCTGAAGCAGGCTGAGGCTGAGGCTGAGGCAGGCTGAGGCTGAGGCTGAGGCTGAGGCTGAGGCTGAGGCAGGCTGAGGCAGACTGAGGCTGAGGCTGAAGCAGGCTGAGGCTGAGGCTGAGGCAGGCTGAGGCTGAGGCAGGCTGAGGCTGAGGCTGAGGCAGGCTGAGGCTGAGGCTGAGGCAGGCTGAGGCTGAGGCTGAGGCAGACTGATGCTAAGGCAGGCTGAGGCTGATGCTGAGGCAGGCTGAGGCTGAGGCTGAGGCAGGCTGAGGCTGAGGCTGAGGCAGTCTGAGGCTGAGGCAGGCTGAGGCTGAGGCTGAGGCTGAGGCTGAGGCAGGCTGAGGCTGAGGCAGGCTGAGGCAGACGCTGAGTCAGGCTGATGCTGAGGCAGGCTGAGGCTGAGGCTGAGGCTGAGGCAGGCTGAGGCTGAGGCCGAGGCTGAAGGCAGACTGAGGCTGAGGCTGAAGCAGGCTGAGGCTGAGGCCGAGGCTGAGGCTGAGGCTGAGGCTGAGGCAGGCTGAGGCTGAGGCAGGCTGAGGCTGAGGCTGAGGCTGATACAGGCTGAGGCTGAGGCAGGCTGAGGCCGAGGCCGAGGCTGAAGGCAGACTGAGGCTGAGGCTGAAGCAGGCTGATGCTGAGGCTGAGGCAGGCTGAGGCTGAGGCTGAGGCAGGCTGATGCTGAGGCAGGCTGAGGCTGAGGCTGTGAGTGCGACTGCCGTTGCCACTGCGACTGCCATCGCGAATGCGACTGCGACTGCGAATTCTACAACTGGATTATCATCTGAATCTTAAGGGCACATCGCTGTTAGGTTGCTTTGCCGGGATAATCATCGCATCTATTGCTTCTACACATCGCTGTTAGGTTGCTTTGCCGGGATAATTATGTTTGAGACGCTATGAGGCCCCATCCTCCCCCCTCCTCTTCTCCCCCTCCTCCTCCTCCTCCTCCTCCTCCTCCCCCTCCTCTTCTTCATCCTCCTACTCTTTCCTTATATCCTCCTCCTCCTCCTCCTCCTCCTCCTCCTCCTCCTCCTCCTCCTCCCCCTCCTCCTCCTCACCCCCCTCCCCATCAACCTCATATCCTCCTCTTCCCCCTTCCAATCCCACCGCGCTAACGGGCGCCTCCTCCTCCCCCCCCCCCGCCCCTCCTCCTCCTCCTCCTCCTCCTCCTCCTCCTCCTCCTCCTCATCTTCCTCTTCCTCTTCCTCCTCCTCCTCCTCCTCCTCCTCCTCCTCTTCCTCCTCCTCCTCCTCCTCTTTCTCCTCTGTCTCTACTCCCCCCCGTCCTCCCCCCGCGAGCCTGGGCCGCATGTCCGCGGCCGTTTTGGCGCAGGCCAGCTCGCGGTTCAAGCTGGACCGCGGAGCCACGCCGGCGCCTCTGCGGGCGCCCCTCGCGGCGACTCGCCCGCGCAGGACAGGCGGCTGGCGCGCGGCGGCGGGCGACGAGGGCGCCGCGGCGGCTGCGGCTGCTGGCCCGCCGAGGATTTCCTTGCTCGCAGATCAGGACGCGCAGCCCAGCCCGATGCGCTTCTTGCAGACCACTGGCGCGCCGCGGTTGATCGCGGCGTATCCCGGCGAGTTCGTGAACCGCGCCGTGCTGCCATCAACGCGGTTTCGCGCGCTGCACCAGCAGTCTCCTCGCGAGTTCTGCACGCGCCTCAGAGAGGGGCCGGCCGCCCGCTTCCCCACCCGGAAGGTTCAGCGGTGGGCAGAACAACCTTGGTGCGCAAGGGTGGTGTGGTGTGTGTACACATATATGGGCTAGCAGCCAGCGCGAACATGAAATTTGGCTGGCCCCCGCGAACATTCGCCCCGCCCACTTCGGCACACCCATCACGCGGATCGTGGCCCAAAGCGGAGCTCAACCTACGGCCCAGGTGAGGGCGTTCACATGCGCCGCTCTGCCCATTCCGGCACACCCCTCACGCGGGTCGTGGCCCCTACAGGAGCTCCGCCTACGGCGCCATCCACATGTGTGATCGCACGCCGCCCCACATGCATTTCGGCACAATACTCACGCATTTAGCGCCTCCACAGGTTGCTGCACCTACGGCCTCAGTGGGGATCGGTGTATACCGCACCTGGCCCACGCCCATGTCGGCACACCATCGAATGTGTCTTGCCCCACAGGGAACCACACTTGCAGCCTCAGTGGGTGTGCGCGCACGTCGCCCTGCGCCAATGCCGGCACACCCTTCGCAGGCTTCGTGCTCCACAGGGGCCCAACATCCATACATTCTGCGGCGCGCCCTCGTTCCGGCTGTGCCCCGCCATTTCAATGACAATGCAAGTTGGTTCGCAGTGATGTTTGAGATGTGCAGGGATTGTCGGAGGGTGTGCTTAGTTGTTGGAAAAACATATTGCGGCGCGTAGGACATGAGAAGGGGGCCACGTTCTGCGTGACACGAAGCTGCAAGGGATGGGCCCTTCACCTGGATAATTGTGCTTGGTCGGCAGGGGCCTGTGGTAGATTGGAAACCCAGGGGTGGAGCTAAACATATAGCTCCGAAGACAGCTTGGCACTGGCACAGTCGGCCCATCAGGGTCCCTTCATCACAGACTACTCATGCTCTTATCTCGTTCTCTCTTTCGGTCCTATGCGACAGTCACGGGGTGCCCATCGCGCCAAGGCTACCTTGGCATCTGCGCAGACGAGCAGTGTGAGAACGATACGGCCGATATCGATATATCAACTTTCGCGCAGTGGGAGCTGGATGCTCTAAAGATGGACGCATGCGGGGTTGATCATACGCAGCAGGCTTGATTGGATGGGGTCATGTCTGTTTCGGCGTGAAGCGGGCGAGAAGAAGGGACATGAGGTCATGAATTGCGACGTAGTAATATCGAAGACGTTTGTGTCGAGTCATCGCCGCCCCCTGTGGCCGAAAAGCGGGTGAGGACCTTTTTGGCTTTCTCGACGACTTCTCGAGCCCGGTTTCTTTGGGCAGTATTGTAAGTCTCTTGAAGTGTTCTTCGGCCCTTCGGGGCACTCTTGGGGCTTTCTTGAGCCGTCTTGGGGGCTCTCTTGGGCAGTCTTGCGGCTCTCTTGGGACGTCCTTGGCCTCGCAGAGGCTGCCTTGTGGCCCGCTTGAGGATTCCCTGGGCCATGATTGGGCCCTGCTGGGGCTCTCCGAAGCCAAGGAGCATGACACAATTTCACACACACACACACACACACCTGGACGGCGCATCGACAAGAAGACTGGCTACGTGAAACACGTGTGCATTAGAACAGGATTCGTGCACACGCGCCCCTGCAGTGCCTCGGAAGCGTACGCTGGAATTCTTTGCCCCAGCGAAGCGCGAGGGTACGTTACAGTGCGCAGGAGGAGGAAGAGGAGGAGGAGGAGGAGGAAGGGGGAAAAGGGGGGGAGGGGGGAGGGGGGGGAGGGCTGAGTGATACAAACATGCCCCAGATTCAAATCATCTGGGCCCTGGATTCGTATCAGTATGAAAAGCAATATAATCTACAACCTGACACAAGTTCAGAAAGTTCCTTAACAGCGCCTGGCTATAGGGTTCAGTGTTCAGCATTATACCCACAGAACCTATCCCTGGGGCGACGCCTGGTCTGGTCGCGCGGCCCCGACGCGGATCATTAGTTGATTGTTTTTGCGTGCCCGCTCGGGGATGATGCGCCACCAGAACGGTGCGCCCCATGATCATTCCAAGTGCAGTCCGTGCGCGCCCGCTCCAGGACGGTGCCCCCTTGAGGATGGTGAGTCCCAGGATCGCGCCTGCGCTGGAGGATAGTGCGTCCAAGGGCCAAACAAGGGTGCGTTCGTTGTAGGGGGACATGATGTCCACCATCTCCAGGTCTCCAAGGTCCACAAAGCGTGGCAGTGGCACAGGACTCTCACTAACCCAGGCCTCCCAGGTCCTGAGTGGTCGCCAGGTGTCTCGGATTTCTCCCAGGCCCAGAGGGTTTGGCATGGGCATACGATAAGTTCTCATTGTGGAAAGTCTCCGAGGTCAAGAAAGGCGGGGGGCATCAGATTCACACGATTCCAGGCCTCCAGGTCCAAGGAGCAGGCCAAGGGCACATGATTTTCCAGGCCACTCAGGTCCAGAACAGAACGTGCGGCAGGGACACTGGTGCCTCGCTGTTCCAAGTCTCGCACCAGATGCACGACCCAGGGAGCCTGGCAGGGTCATCGGATTCTCATCGTTCAATGTCTTCGGGTCCACGGGATGTGGCAGGGGCATGCGATTCTCACCATTCTAGTTCTGACAGGTCCACAATCCCTCCGCTAAGTACACCGAAATCATTGGGGCTAGTGGGGGGAGCATCGGGAGGGCGCTTTGATGGGATTCAATTCATTTGGGAGGCGTATGGGCCCGTGGGGGGGGCCTTTGAGGGCCGTCATCTGGAGCTCACGGGCCATCTTAGCGCCGTCTGGAGCTCTTGGGGCCGTCCGGGGCCCGCGCTCGGCGCACTCTTGGGCCATCTTGGTGGCATCTTGGGCCATGAGCGGTTTGGGGTTTGGGTGATGGCCGCCGGTGCAGCTGGAGGCTGGAAGGTTGGCGGGATGGGCCGAAAGGCCTGTGCAGAAGTTTGGAGGGCGAAACCGAAGGTGACTCCCGATCAAGCACGCCCAACAACCCCTGGTGGATACGAGGGGGCGGCGGACCGCAGAGGCCTCCCGCGAGCCAACGCCGACCCCATGAGGCCGAGAAGCGGACGCTCTCATGGGGCTTCCTGAACGTCATCTGGACGCCTGTCAGGGCCTCGTGGTTGGTCTTCTCGACGACCTCCCTTTTGGATCTCTCCTGAGACTCTCGAGGGGCCCTCTTCTGGTCAGTCTCGGAAGCCCCGTTGGGTCTTCTTCGGCCTTTGTGAGGTGGGGGCCTCATGGTCGTCTTGGGGGCTTCTCCAGGCCATCTGAAAACAGTGTTGGAGCTCCCTTGGGCTCCTCTTGGGGCTCTGTTAGGCATAATTTGGGTTCTCCGAGTCCCTAACAGACCCCTAAGAAGGCTCCATGACGAGCCCATGGCACCACTCTGGGGCGTGTCAAACATTCAGGTTCCCAATCTCGGTTCCAAAGCTGGGAGAGTCACGCAGCATGGTAAGCCTCAGGAGCCCGCGGGATCGCCCAGTAGCGCCCTGGAATCGGTGGACCAGGACCTTCAATAACCCTCCAGTCTTTTCATGCTTGAAGACAAATGGCCACGATGGAGCTGAGGACTTTCCATCGTGTGACAGAGGCACGCTGATCCTGGCGCGTCGGGAAGGAGGACGGACGGAGAGAAATAGAGAGAGAGAGGGAGAGAGAAAGGGAGAGAAAGAGAGAGACTTAGTTCGAGGCGGATTTGCAGTTTGATGAAGCCGATGCTGCGCCAAGACGGCGCCGAACTGGCAAGCGTGGAACATGCAGTTTCCCAAGTTGTCCGAGGTCCACACTAGGGACAAGCAGTAGAGAGAGAAAGAAGCTGAGAGAGAGAGAGAGGGAGAGATAGAGAGAGATGCCAGGTGGTGTAACCTGAAACAGGATTAGGCCGGGCAGCGGGGAGCGGGGAGAAACCAGAGGAAGATACAATTATGGCAGGACGTTGGGAACCATGCAGCGGCAAACGTATATGTATAGCTACTCCATTGGAGGGGGCCGAGGACCTGATCCTCGTTTCCCTCGTCCTCCGCCTCCCCCTCTTCCTGACGATTGGAGTGTTCTGTGGCCATTTCGTTCCCAGGCAGCTTGCATAGGCCGACAACGCATCCGATCATCGAGACGATCTCATGGGCTGGTCGGCGCGTGCGTGTCCGCGTGCGTCGAGGGGCTCTGACAAAAAGGCCCACGACAACTAAAAGGTATTCAGGACAACCCAGGGGTGAGAGGGTGGAGGATCCAGGGTAGTCCAGGATGAGATCCAGCTTCAAATGCTCCTTGAACCCCATTCGGCCTTGGATGTGCATCACCCTTTGGAGCGCCCCAGGCTGTCCCCACCACTTTGATCAGCGATGACGTACGCACACTGGCAGCTTCTGATGCAAACTCAAGTCCGTGACGGCGATGCACGTCGAAGCTAAGCAAGCTGATTGTATTGAGGGTGTGCGGGCATGTGGTTCGTCAATAGAAGGAGCGGAAGGCTATTGATCGAGGGTACTTGGCCGTGCACCGTGCCCTACAACGCGCAGAACGCCGAGTATTGTTTTCGTGCAGTTGGCCTTTCTATCTTCGACATTTTGGTACGAGGGAAGATACCATTGAACGCCCAGGGGAGCTGTCGGAGCTGTCAGGGCGTTCCGGTATTGCGTTTGTGCTTTTGTGGAGCGGCGGCCGCTCTCCAATATAGGTCTTTGTCCACCCGTCCAGCCGAGAGCAGGGGGGAAAGTGTTGCCGAGAGCAGGGGGCAGCAGTGGCAGTGAATTTAATGATGCTCCGCAGCGCTGATAGGAGGAGCTGCAGCAGGAGCAGAAAGAGAATGACGAGGAGGTGTGTATTGAAGGAAGACAGCTCGTTTCAGCAGCAGCAGCAGTGTGGCAGGGAGACGCGGAGACAGTGAGTATTGGCTTGTGGCAAGTCCAAAGAACTCAGGAGTGGGAGGGGCGATGAAGGGCGATGGGGACAGGTCAAGGCGGCCACTGTCAAAGTGCATGTGTTCTAGCTGTTCTGTTGGTCCCCTCCCTCTGCCCTTCACCAGATCCTCCCACTTGCTTTCGTGTGTCATGTCGCTGGCGGTTGTGTGGCGTTGCCGATCGCCCTTTACCATGTTATCTGCCTCAGCCTTACGGGTGAAGGGTGGATTGAGGGGGAGGAAGAGGGGTGAGCACACACGCTCACACGAATGGTCGCGCATGGCAGAACCCAAAACGATGTGGCGCGCGCGCGCTCCATGCTGCGGGGAGGCTTCCACGTGAACTACACCGACATCGCCCAGATGTGCAACACCTGGCGCTCGTCTGGGCGCGGGAGCGGGGAGGGGTGCAGCGCAGAGCACGAGGCTGCCGATGCGAAAGCGAAGAGTATGAGGAGTTCATCTTCTCGGAAGGGGGGAGCGGGGGCAGGGGAGAGGGGCGAGCAGGAGAGGAGGGGCGAGGGCGAGGGCGCGAGGAGGAGGGGAAAGATCGGTGAATCCCCCGGGCAGCGCGCGGCCAAAGCCGATGACGGGGGCGACCTGCTCCGCAGGCCCAATGGCACCTCGCCGACCGCTCTCGGCCCTTGAAGCAACGAGAGGCGGGGCAGGTCAGCGAGAAGGCCAGGAGAAGTGGCCGTGTTGACAGTCTCCGGCCGTGCCAGTGCTGCATCCTCAGAACTCTGGGCTCCCGGGTATCGTTTTCTCGGAGGTGCCTTCCCAGCAGCGAAGACCAGCGCGTTTCTGGTGGGCAGAGGGCGGTGCTTGATGAGCGTCGGTGGATCCCCAAATCTATGGCATTTTGAAATACGCACTGCCATTACGGCCCTCTCCTGCTATCGAGGGCTCCCATTTCGGATGCCAACGCTGGGATTGGGCGATTCGTGGAAGCAGAATGGGGTTCATGCTTGTCAGAGCAATACATCAGCACCATGAGCAAGATCATGTGCTGAGAAAGTTTGTTCGGCCATGGGAGTGTTGATCGCAAGCCAAGTGCCTGCACACTTGCCCCCACGCCGCATAACAAGGATGGAACATCTGGAAGGCGTCAATGTGGCAGCACAGAGTTCATGTCAGTGGGGCGTCTGGTGCAGGGACATGCAGAACAACTGGGACTCAGTGGTTGGTATCGCCGAGTGGTACGCCGAGAGACAAGACGACATCGTGTTGGCAACTGGCCCAGGGCGATGGAACGATATGGACCAGCTTGTGATAGGCGGGGTGTCCTGAGATTGGCTTGCGCTTATCGCTTCCGTAGTGCCTCCACTGTGCCCAACGTGACGACACACACACAGCTGTTCGATGATGTGCTTGCTGCAAAACGCACCCGCTGCACAATGTCTGAGGTTAGGGGGTGAGATCGCAGTGGAACGGAGACCCTCAACCAGGAAATCGTTCCGTTTCGTTCGTGCCGCGCGTGCGGGCGAGGCGAAGCTGCGTGGGCGCGCGAGAGACATGAACCCGCCGTTGCTAGGGCGAAGTCAAGACAAATGATTCTCCCCCTCCCGCCCGTCCGGCGGTGGCCCCGCGGTGTCCCGTGGTGTCCCGTGGTGTCCGCCGTTGCTAGGGCGAAGTCTAGACAAATGATTCTCCCTCGCCAGCCCGTCCGGCGGTGGCTCGCGGTGCCCGCGGTGTCCCGTGGTGTCCCGTGGTGTCCCGTTGAGTGAGATCGATGGTGAAATCGATATTGAGATCGATACTGAGATCGATACTGAGATCGATACTGAGATCGATGTGGTGCCCCGAGGTGTGAGAGAGTGCGCCCACAGCGCCGGAGCAAACGGGGGGTCCCCCCTTAGCTACCCTCCCCCTCACTTCCACATCCCCTGTTGGAAGCTCCCTCCCCCTTTTTCGCCTCCCCCCTGAAGCTACCCCGCCCCTCCCCCCCTTTCGCCACTCCGAAGCTACCCCCCCCTCCCCCCCTTTCCAAAGGGAGGGGGGGGGCTTAGCCACTCCCCCCTTCCCCTTGACCCCCCTCTGCCGGAAGCTACCCCCCCTCCCCCCTTTGGTTCCAAGGGGGGGGGGGGCTGAGCAGCCCCCCCCCTTCGGCACCCGGGAAGCTACCCCCCACCCCCTTTCCCCCCCTTTACGAAAGGGGAGGGGAGCTTAGCTACCCCCCCCCTCCTTTGACCCCCCTCTGCTGGAAGCCCCCCCCCGACTTCCCTCCATGTTTCTCCCCCCTGCCGGAAGCTCCCCTCCCCTCCCCTTCCTTTCCAAAAGGGGAGGGGCGGCATAGTCACCACCCCCCTCCCTTGAACTCCCCCTGCCGGACGATCCTCCCCCGTCGCCGTCGTCGTTGCCGTCGCCGTCGCTCGACGTCTTCGTACGACGCTATCGTCGTCCTCGTCGTCGTCGCCGCCGTCGCTGTCATTGTCGCCGTCCTCGTATGCCCTCGTCGTTGTCGTCACGACGAGGACGGATGACGCACGACCGACGACCGACGACGACGACGACCCAGGGTCAGAGAAAACGAGACCACGACCCAGGGGCTGAGAAAACGAGGAAACGAAGCAGGGTCCAAGAAAACGAGACCACGGCCCAGGGGCCGGGAAAACGAGAAAACGAACCAGGGTCCGAGCAAACGAGACCAGGGTCAGAGAAAACGAGACCACGACCCAGGGGCCGAGAAAACGCGAAAACGAACCAGGGTCAGAAAAATCGAGACCACGACCCAGGCGCCGAGAAAACGAGACAACGAGAAAACAAACCAGTGCCCGAGAAAACGGTTCCACGATCCAGGGGCCGAGAAAACGAGACAACGAGAAAACGAACCAGGGCCCGAGAAAGCGAGAACACGACCCAAGGGCTGAGAAAACGAGAAAACGAACCAGGGCCCGAGAAAACGAGACAAACACCCAGTGGCCGAGAATACAAGAAAACGAGACAACGAACCAGGGTCCGAGAAGTCGAGATAACGACCCAGGGACGGAGAACACGAGAAAACGAGAAAACGAGCCAAGGTCCGAGCAAACGAGACCACGCCCCAGGGGCCGAGAAAACGAGAAAACGAGAAAACGAACCAGGGCCAGAGAAAACGAGACCACGACCCAGGGGCCGAGAACACGAGAAAACGAGAAAACGAAACAAAGTCCGAGCAAACGAGACCACGACCCAGGGGCCGAGAAAACCAGAAAACGTGAAACGAACCAGGCGCCGCGAAACGAGACCATGACCCAGTGGCCGAGGAAACTAGACACGAAACGGGGTCCGAGAAAACGAGACCCCGACCAAGGGGCAGAGAAAACGCGAAAACGAGACAACAAACCAGGGTCAGAGAAAACAAGACCTCGGCCCAGGGGACGATAACACAAGAAACAAGGAAACGAATCAGGGTCCGAGACAACGAGACCACGACCCAGGGGCCGAGAACATGAGAAAACAAAACAACGAACCAGCGCCCGAGAAAACGAGACAACAACCCAGGGGCCGAGAAAACGAGAAAACAAGACAACTAACCAAAGTCCGAGCTAACGAGGCCACGACCCAGAGGCCGAGCAAACCATAACACGTGAAACAAACCAGGGTCCGAGAAAACGAGACTACGACCTAGGGGCCGAGAAACCGAGAAAACAAGCCAGCGTCCGAGAAAACCAGACCACGACCCAGCGGCCGAGAGAACGAGAAAACGAGAAAACGCACCAGAAACAGAAAACAAAACCACAGTCCAGGGGCCGAGAAACGGAGAACACGAGAAACCGAGCCAGGGTTCGAGAAAACGGGTCCACGATCCAGGGGCAGAGAAAACAAAAAACGAACAAGGGTCAGAGAAAACGAGACCACGACCCAGGGCCCGAGAACGCGAGAAAACGATACAACTAACCAGGGTGCGAGGAACAATGGGACCACGAGACAGGGGCCGAGAAAACAAGAAAACGAGACCACGAACCAGGGCCCCAGAAAACGACACAAAAACCCAGAAGCAGAGACAACGAGAAAACGAGAAAACTAACCAGGGCCCGAGAAAACGAGACCACGACCCAGGGGCCGAGAACACGAGAAAACGAGAAAACGAAACAACGCCCGAGCAAACGAGACCACGATCCAGGAGCAGAGAAAACCAGAAAACGCGAAACGAATCAGGGTACGAGAATACGAGACTACGACCCAGGGGCGACGAAAACGAGAAAACAGACCAACGTCCGAGAAATCGAGAACTCGGCCCAAGGGAATAGAAGAAGCGAAAACAAACCAGGGTCCGAGAAAACACGACCACGACCCACGGGCCGAGAAAACGAGAAAACGATAAAAGGAATCAGGGCCCGAGAAAACGAGATTACGAACCAGGGTCCGAAAAAACAAGAAAACAAGAAAACGAACCAGGGTCAGAGAAAACGAGACTACGACCCAGGGGCCGAGAAAACAAAAAACGAGAAAACGAACCAGGCCCCGAGAACACGAGACCACGACCCAGGGGCCGAGGAAACGAGACAACGCGAAAACGACCCACGACCCAGGGGCTGAGAAAACGAGAAAACGAACCAGGGTCTGACGAAACCACGACCCACAGGCCAAGATCACCAGAAAACGCTTGGTTCGAGAAAACGAGACCACGACCCAGGAGCCGAGCAAACGAGGAAACGAGAAAACGAAACAGGGTCAGAGAAAACGAGACCCCTACCCGGGGGCGCCGAGACAACGAGAAAACGATAATATTAACCAGCGTCCGAGAAAACAAAGTCACGACCCAGGGGCCGAGAAAACGAGAAAACAAAGCAGGGCCAGAGAAAACGAGACCACGACCCAGTGGCCGAGATGTCGAGAAAACGAGAACAAGTACCAAGGTTAGAGAAACGAGACCGCGACCCATGGGCCGAAAACATGAGAAAACAAGAAACGAATCAGGGGCAGAGAAAACGAGAACACGATACAAGGAATCATGGCCCGAGAAAACGAGACTACGAACCAGGGGCCGAAAAAAACCAAGGAAACACGACAACGACAGGTGTCGACGTTATTCTCCAATGCGTTCTCTAGCGCTGCGGCGCGCACCTGTCTGCAGGGACTCGGCCATTTTGCAATGACCCCGGAAGGGAGGGGGGGGGTAGCTTCGGATGCCCCAATCCCCCCCCCCCCCCCTTCCCCCCCCCCCCCCTCCCCTCTCCCTCTTTGCAAAGCAACTCCCCGCAACATCTCCCAGGGAGCCTCAAAACAGTTGTTTCCTATTGTTCCGACGCAGCCCCAAAACAGATAAGAAACATATGTCAAAAACAATGCTCGTTCGTATCAATTCGTTAATGCGGAAAACATAATAGTTCTAACGTTTTGCTGGGTCTGCCTCGGGTCCGCAGCGCATCGTCCCCCAAGAACCTCAGCGCGCGCTGAGTGCGATGTGTAGTTTGGCGGGGTTCAGTCCCTTTCCCCACAGGTGCGATGCGAGGTTCCGTATGGTTCAACCTGGCCCTTTCAGGCCCCCCCCCCCCGTGCCCTTTGGGCAGGACACGCGCCGACTCGACGTCCGCCTTGCTCTGTTTTGAATAGGGGGTTGGGTAATGAGCGAGGGGGGAGACAAACTATGGTCGGGGGCTGGGCGGGGGTGAGCGGGGGGGGGCACATGGCACATGACAGAAAGGAAGGGCTGTGATGAGCGGGTGCAAGCGCCCCTTGCCCCCCCCCCCCCCCCCCCCCCTTCCCAAGGGATTCAGGCGCCCCCCCCCCCCCCCCCCCTCCCCCGTCGCCAACGGCAGCAGCATCGCCGCCATCATCATCGCCACGCGCTGCCGTTTTGGATCGCACATGTGATCTCGGCAAGGCTTTGGCACTTTGTGTTTTTTTTTTTTGCGGCGAGACCGCGATGGCGGACGGCTGGGGCGATGTGCTCGCCGAGGTCGCGGGCGAGCCTCACCCGCCGCCCCGCGGCCCCGCGGGCGCCGCGGCCAGAGGGCCGCGCCCCCCGCCCCGCAGGCCCAGTCGGGCAGCCGCGAGGTCGGTCGCGGGCCGCGCCAACGCCCTGGCGCTGCCCCTGTCGGAGTCCACGGTGAAGCTGCCCACCGTGCCCAGACACATAGTCCAAGGCACGGGCAGAGGATCGACAGATCAGTGGCCGCTGCTCCCGCGCGTTCGCATAGCAGCGCTCACGATCGAGCGCCAGAGAATATCAGACCAAGACGTGCCAGCGAAGCTCAACCGCTTGTTGATGGATTCTTCGTCCGAGCTCTGGGAGCTACATCGAGTACGCGATCGCCCTGGCCAACGCCATCGTACATTTCGAGCGGGACC